TGTATGATTGTATTTATGTAAGTGTACTGTATGTGTGCATACATCCACTGGTTTGTTTTGGTACAGAAAATACATACAGTGGGGAAAAAAAGTATTTAGTCAGCCACCCATTGTGCAAGTTCTCCCACTTAAAAAGATGAGAGAGGCCTTTAATTTTCATCATAGGTACATGTCAACTATGACAGACAAATTGAGAAAAAAAAATCCAGAAAATCACATTGTAGGATTTGTTATGAATTTATTTGCAAATTATGGTGGAAAATAAGTATTTGGTCACCTACAAACAAGCAAGATTTCTGGCTCTCACAGACCTGTAACTTCTTATTTAAGAGGCTCCTCTGTCCTCCACTCGTTACCTGTATTAATGGCACCTGTTTGAACTTGTTATCAGTATAAAAGACACCTGTCCTCAACTTCAAACAGTCACACTCCAAACTCCACTATGGCCAAGACCAAAGAGCTGTCAAAAGACACCAGAAACAAAATTGTAGACCTGCACCAGGCTGGGAAGACTGAATCTGCAATAGGTAAGCAGCTTGGTTTGAAGAAATCAACTGTGGGAGCAATTATTAGGAAATGGAAGACATACAAGACCACTTATAATCTCCCTCGATCTGGGGCTCCACGCAAGATCTCACCCCGTGGGGTCAAAATGATCACAAGAACAGTGAGCAAAAATCCCAGAACCACATGGGGGGACCTAGTGAATGACCTGCAGAGAGCTGGGACCAAAGTAACAAAGCCTACCATCAGTAACACACTACGCCGCCAGGGACTCAAAATCCTGCAGTGACAGACGTGTCCCCCTGCTTAAGCCAGTACATGTCCAGGCCCGTCTGAAGTTTGCGAGAGTGCATTTGGATGATCCAGAAGAGGATTGGGAGAATGTCATATGGTCAGATGAAACCAAAATATAACTTTTTGGTAAAAACTCAACTCGTCGTGTTTGGAGGACAAAGAATGCTGAGTTGCATCCAAAGAACACCATACCTACTGTGAAGCATGGGGGTGGAAACATCATGCTTTGGGGCTGTTTTTCTGCAAAGGGACCAGGACGACTGATCCGTGTAAAGGAAAGAATGAATGGGGCCATGTATCGTGAGATTTTGAGTGAAAACCTCTTTCCATCAGCAAGGGCATTGAAGATGAAACGTGGCTGGGTCTTTCAGCATGACAATGATCCCAAACACACCGCCCGGCCAACGAAGGAGTGGCTTCGTAAGAAGCATTTCAAGGTCCTGGAGTGGCCTAGCCAGTCTCCAGATCTCAACCCCATAGAAAATCTTTGGAGGGAGTTGAAAGTCCGTGTTGCCCAGCGACAGCCCCAAAACATCACTGCTCTAGAGGAGATCTGCATGGAGGAATAGGCCAAAATACCAGCAACAGTGTGTGAAAACCTTGTGAAGACTTACAGAAAACGTTTGACCTTGTCATTGCCAACAAAGGGTATATAACAAAGTATTGAGAAACTTTTGTTATTGACCAAATACTTATTTTCCACCATAATTTGCAAATAAATTCATAAAAAATCCTACAATGTGATTTTCTGTATTTTTTTTCTCATTTTGTCTGTCATAGTTGACGTGTACCTATGATGAAAATTACAGGCCTCTCTCATCTTTTTAAGTGGGAGAACTTGCACAATTGGTGGCTGACTAAATACTTTTTTTCCCCACTGTATAATATACTGATGTTCTCATAAGCCCACGTGGGCTGCGCATCCTTGAAGATGCATGACACTATAATGATAGAATAAATCTAAATCATCACACACGCGTGCACACACACACACACACACACAAGACTTCCGTAAACAGAATGGTTAACTTGGAGCACTGACTCACTGAACTTTATCATCTCAAGTGTTTGGAAGAGATTATACTGAGAAATCAACATAACACTGGTGTGTTCTGAGACTGAGGATTAACTATAGTGAAGGCAATGGGTTTATCCAAAATGGTAAGTCCAGAGTCCAGGGTGTCCCACAACAGGCCTGCAGAGAACACACCGTTTCCTGTTTGTGTCACATTCATATGCCTCCCCCTCCTCTGGGTCTAACCATGCACCTGTAGCAAGGCCCTGGCCCTGCCTGAAAAACACTTTTAGCCCAATTACTTTCTACCCGGCACACAGAGAAAAGAAAACAGCACATGTTGTGAAACAATAGCTTGGTGTAAAAACACGCCTTGCCACTGGAGTAAACATACTTCAACGAAACCCCATTGTACAACGCCTACAGACTGGCCCTGGTTTAATAAAAGAACACAATGATAGTTTGTTGGGGATGGATATAAAATACAAGGTATTTTCCACTTAAACTATGGTCTCTTAAGGAGCCGCACAACATGAACGCAAGCTTTTGTTCTGGGTGCCAAGATCACTAAACCTAGTAGAACCACATCTGCAACATATACATTGTTTTCAGTAAATTGTAGTAAATCACGGTACAGTAAATCACCTTCAAATGGCCTTTGAATTGCGTTGCTCACCATGCACAGATGTTCCTATTGGGCCATCTCCAAATAGAGACATGGTTTACGAGTTAGGCTCACACACATTTCCAATGAAACACAGCTATCTTCTTGTTTGTCTATCACAATATTCTCCAACGGACATGGAACATGGAAGTGGGGGTTCATGATTTCCCCATTTCCTGAACAGAGGCCTCCACTGGCACTTTCCATTTACCAGAAGTCCTCATTGAAAACAGACAGAGGAGGAAAACAGAGGGTGGAGGAGGGGGCATAGTGTGGGGGCATATAAACAACTCCAGACCCCACCAAAAGATGGTCTAACTCCTGGCTACGATCCAGCTAGTAACTGTCCGTCATCACTCTGACACACAAAGAGCTCTGTGACTGTGATCATCCATAGTGCTGTGTGTGTGCGTGAGTGCGTGTGTGTATATAGGACTGGAATCCATAGTGTTGCAGGCAGAGTGAAAGTGTCAACTGACACCCATTAGGCCTACCCTCCGACAGTGGCTGCAGACAGAATACTTTGCAGGGTAATTAAGTCTAAGTTGTCTAACAGAGAAAGTCCCGATGTTGGACCCAGCCGGGTCAAAGGGGAGCCATCATGGCAGCTGCTGACTCATAATGGGGGACTATAGGACTTACTGGAAGGTCTGTGAGTCAGATAGTCACCCCTCCCCCATATCGCCCTGTCTCCCCCCTCTCTCCCCTCGTACCCTCCTCTCCCTCAGCCAGTCTCTCCTCTGATCTCACACAGCGGTCCGTCTGTAATCTCACTTAGACAATAACACACAAATGCAACACTACCCAGATATTTGGTGAGCTCATAATTTTTTCCTTACAATTCCCCCCAAAATAATTTTGTAAACATGTTATTAGGCCATAAGGTTAATAACACAATATCGTAAAAAATGAGCAATGCAATGAGAGTTGGCGTTATATTGGCACCACGGTACCATGACGTTAGGTTTACAGAGGTAAATAGTAACACATTAGATGGTACTACTGATATGAGTGTAAAATCTAAGTCTTGTGTACTAAACAAAGTAAACAACCACTCTGGTTTATTTTAAACTCACTCAACACAGTAAACAACATCTCCCTCTCTCACCCTCTTCATTATCCCATAGCTCAACATCAAGCGTCATCAGGAATAGAATGGAGGTCCATTCTGGAGCGCTATGAGTCCTGCCTGGGTTTCAGCTGAGTGGTTAGAGAGGGGTGTGTGGGTGGAAGTTCAAGCTGAGTGTTTATGGCAGCCAGGAGTCAGTCCGCTAGCTTATGCTGTCAGTGTGTGTGTGTATGTGTGTGTGTGTGTGTGTGTGTGTGTGTGTGTGTGTGTGTGTGTGTGTGTGTGTGTGTGTGTGTGTGTGTGTGTGTATATGTCGGGCATGTGTATGCCTGCATGCATGCGTGTGTGTGTGTCAGTCTGCTTACGCTGCCACTCTGTGAGGGAAGCAGTGGGCCCCCGTGCCCTAGCACCGTGGGTGGAATCCAATCGAAAAGGCTCCACCAGGGCCCTCGCCAAGCTCAAGCCTAGCTGGAAGCCATCCCCAGCGAGCAGCGCTGTCAGGTGGCTGGTGTGGGTGTAGGTGCAGTATAATGAGAGAATGTAGCCTATAGGCGTCACAGGCGTTGGATATTCCTGCATGAACAATGATGTGAGTAAGACTGTGATTGAGAGGCGTATGTACTGCTGTAAATGAATACCACCCACAACCTGGGGGCCCACTCTCTATTCTCTGTATATCATCAAATACTGTTTATGTAATATGACTGTTACATAAGAGAACACCCACTGTTCACCGAAGTGCATCACTTGTACTAAAACACCTGTAGCTATCAGGAAACATGAATGCCTGTTTGTTTCTGAAGTTCCATTCATGAACTTTCACTGGTCATGGTATATATGGTGCATTTGGCATTTTAATTGATTAATGTCCAATTACTCCACCTTTTTTAAATTACTGATACTTTGGTAACATTAATAAAGGGTATATAAGTAGTTTATAAATGGTTAATTAATAGTTTATATATAGTTTATACATCTATTATAAATTATTACTAATAATCAGTTACACTGGTTGAAATTGTGAGATTTTTGCTTGGTCCCAAAATGTGTATTAATTGCTTATGACTGTACTGTTTTAAAAAAAAAATCTTACTGTAAAGTATTCTGAAATGTAAAACTGCAAAGTTTGCAATGTTTTCTGCTAATTTAGACATGTTTCACACGGTATGGTGTACCACAGCCGTTGGAGAGCAAACATCCTGGCCATATGCCTTTCCACACTCCCTCTAGCTAATTAGATGTTCCTTTTTCCTTCTCACAAAATATCTTCATGGAACAGTATGATACAATGTCGTTCAAAGAGAATCGATGGATGGCAAACCGACCAATGAGATTGCTCTAACGTTTCGATTTTTCAGGTCCTTCCCTGTGATTGGCTTACTTCCAAGAAGAAGTATCCGCCTCCAAGCCTATTATAGGCTGTGTTTCGCGGCTTTCTGCAAGTCATTTGAATACGGCTGGTCGTGGTCGCAGTTTCAAATGACTTCTCATTCAAAGGATCGTGCAGACACAATGGATGGACTTTACGAATAGGAATTTCATGCTCTGAAAACACTGATCGTTATTATTTGTGTGCATTTTGCACTTATTTCCAAGGAATATCTTTGAAGGATTATTTTCTTTCATCTGCTTATTTTTCTCCAAAGACTTGGAATCGTTTTATTTGTTACAAATAGTGTACATAATTTTTATACCGTTACAATTCGGATGTGTTTCTAGTTGGGGTAAGTTGATCACAATACAGATGTAGGATCTTAATTTGATCACTATTTTGCTGCTGAGAATTCGTAGTGTATTTAAGGTTTAAAAAGGCTTCTAAAGTTTGTAATTTCCACTAAAATGCCCTAACGAAAATTGTATGAATTGTATAAATGTCAATTAATTATAATCCACAAAATAATTAACATTTCCTGTTGCTGCAAGATTATTTTCATACTGTAGCAAACTGGCTCAAATTAAGATCCTACATCTATCTGTGTGTTCACTGTGAGCATGATTATTTGTAACAAGGAAACTTTCAAAACAAAAGTGTTAAGTAATGCATTTGACCTATAAATGACAGTGTTTTGAGGGTTGCACTTTGAGTGAAGGCAAAAACAACTTAAAGATAGCAGATCTTGACTTTTACTTAATGATGACAGATCTTGACTTTTACAAACAAAAAATATTTCCATAAGCACCTTTATAAATCCCAGACACTCATATCTGATATAATTTCATGTGATGTGAAGCTTTAAATAGACTTTAACTGTGTTATTGTTTTGCTCAAGTCTGCAGCATGGCCTGTATAATTACTTGTCTGGCATGCATTAACCTTCATTACTCACTAGTGTTATGACTGAGTGTGGTTCAGCCCAACAGAGTTCTATGGAAGGCAAGGCGCTTCCCACATAATAAGAGCGCATGAGTCAAGAGTAATAAACAGTGCCAGTGGTGTGGGTTGGGTTGTGTTTATCCTGTCTGGGCTACAGTACAGTACAGTAGTTACATGGTTAGATTGTTACAGTAGACTGGGGAACAGACAAACAGGGTGGGATATGTGTGGGAATGAGATTTCTTAGAAACAATATCCATCTTATTTTATGACATTTACTTCTCTATCAGATGTTCAGTTCTTATTTTTCTAGGCTATGGAACAGACAAAACAGGGTGGGACATGAGGTTTCTTATTCCTTCCGTCTTATTAACAGTATCCACCCTTATTGGACATTATATCCAAGATCGATACAGTATAATGTAGCTGTTTTATTTTATAACTCTTGTATATTTGCTTCTCTATCAGACAGAAGAGGTTCTTATCTGTTTCCACGTAACCCGTATGAACCTATTCATCCCCAGCCAGGCTGTAGTGTAATGTCAGCCTGTTGGTCAGTCAGAGAATGTCACTTTCATTCAAATGTAGTAGGCTCTAGTAGGCCTTATCCTTACTTGGTGGGGGGGGGGGGGTACATGTTGTAGTAATGCTAGTTGGTGATTGGTTGAAAACATCTATTGTGTGGTAGATCATCAGCTCCTGTTGTAGCAGGTCACCGTCATTAACGCTGTCTGTCTGTCTGTCCAGACTAAAGAATAAAGTACCTTTAATCTCTTAACGGTGTTAAGGAAGCCAGCAGGGAGAGAAAAGGGATGTGCCAGGATGGCAGGTGAATGAGACAGTGGCATAAACAGGCTTACCAGAATGTAGAAGACTCAGCAGGAGTAAGGACATGAGACAGTGGCATAGTCAGGCTTACAACCAGCATGGTGTAGACTTAAAATCAGGAGTAGTGGGTAAATAACATTAGGGTAACTTATCACACACTGACGGTAGTTATTACATAAATTATTACCGTTTTTTACAGCTTTTCTCCCTGTCACACACACATAAACACAAGCGCATGCACACGCACACACACACGCACACACACGTTTCTTGGGGAAATAACATTCAGTTGAAACCAGAAAAAAATAATGTGTTTAGTTATGAGTTTAAGAGAAGAACAAAGATTTTACATTGTTTTTATATTTTCAATCTCTTCAACAGGTCATTATGCCTCCCACGACACCATACACTGGCAAGTTCAGCCCCAGCCCTTACAACAACAACAACAATCTGCACAAATACCACCAGCCCATGGAAGCGAGCTACGGGGACATGTGCTACCATGACAACAGTCTTGTTTCGGGCTCCCTGGAGGCCCTAATACAACACTTAGTTCCCACAGTAGACTACTACCCTGACGTGAGTCTTATCTCTGGTCCAACAAACAACAAAAACATAAAAGATAAAAAATGTAATCATACAAACATATTTGGGGTTATGAAAGGGGAAGACTGTTAAGCTCATAAGGCTTAACTTGTATATTCTTCAAGAGCAAATGTTTGTACTGTACAGTGGACTACTACTCTGATGTGTGTTGTTATCTCTGGTCCAAAATGCTCTATCAAGGGGACTCTAATGACAACAACAAAAACATAAACAAGGGAATAATACAACCTGTTGTTATGCCAAATAGGCTACAGTTATATTTTGGGTTGTGTACTAAGTCCATACGTTATATTCCTAAAGAACAAATGGGTAGACTCACTCAGAATGTATATATCATTAACTGAAATGACCATTGAACAGCAGGAAATGTGCCATATTGTGCTGGGTTGGTGTTGGGTTGACGACAACGTGAGTTGATGTTAATGATATTTTTTCTTGTTCTCCATCAGAGGTCGTACGTCTTCACCTTCCTGCTGAGTTCCCGTCTCTTCCTCCACCCGTATGAGCTCATGTCTCGGGTGTGTCACCTGTGTGTGGAGCAGCATAGATCTGGAGACCTGCTGCTTGATAAGGTGTCTAACACACACACAAACAGAGATACAGTAGTTTTAAACAACCAAGAGTGGACACCACCTCTTTACAGTCTGTCTAACACTGGCATATCTTTCTCCTTGCTGTCCTCAGATCAGAATACGAGACGTCGCTCCAAAGATCGTGCAGCTGCTGACAGAGTGGACGGAGACATTTCCCTATGACTTCAGAGATGAGAGGATGATGCGCTGCCTGAAAGAGATGAGTCATCATCTGACCAGAGGAGATGAGGTCAGTACCCTGATATAACCTCTGACTAACTGACTCATTAGAGATGACAATAGACATGACATCAGACATTTGATTTGACCAGTTATGGTTGAGTTTGACATCAGACACCTTATTTAGCGCAAATTGAGCTTGATCAAGGATGAACTGAACTGCTGCCTTGTGCTGATAGTCCTATATCATTAGGTGTGTTATATGTTCACTTGTGGTACGTCATGGTGTGTGTTGTGTGTTCCATGGGTCATATGTTTTATATCAGCATAGATAGCGTAGGAGGTGAGAATACACACCCACAAGTTCACAAGTTTCAGACTTCGATAATGAACTCAGCACCCTCGTCATTATATCAGCACAGATAAAAAATATACCTTGATATGGATTTCTCTCTCTCTTGATGTTGTCTTATATCAGTACTTGAAGAGATTGTTTCCAAAACGCTATATATCCATTTTCAGAAATGTTGGTAAATTAGCTTTCATTGTTTCAAGAAATTATGAAAGAGATTGGTGTGTTTTTTCACTATCTAATCATGGCATGGGTTCAATTACAGACATGTATTAAAATCTATCTCTTGATGGTTTCATTTCAGATAGACAAATAACTGTTTTTTGCTAAATGCTATATATCCCCCTCACTCGCAGATAAATAAATAACAAGTAACACATAACTACATCAAATGTAACAAATAACTACATTTTTTATAAAGAAATGTACAAATTATACATTTGTGACATCAATATATACAACAAAAAAATGTATAAACTAAATCAATACAGTAGTATGAGATTTATATGTAAAACATTTACAATTGCCATTTTAGTCATTTAGCAGATGCTTTTATCCAGACAACTTACAGTAAAAGCATTCATCTTAAGATAGCTAGGTGAGACAACCACATATCAAAGTCAAATATGTAGGACATGAACGTCCCATTCGAGCTAAACAATGGATATATAGCGTTTTGCAAAAAGAAAATATATATTCATACACATCTAAAATCCATGAATAAAAAATCTGAGAACAGTATTATTTTACACACACATGAAGGTACTCATAAGCAATTATTTCTGATGAAAAAAAAACACAAATGTGAAAAATTTGTGGATATAGCATTTTGGAAATAAACGATTCACTTGTATACAATACATACGGTATATTGATCTCTCTTTATGTTGTTTTATATCAGTACTCGTGGAGGGCCATGCAGCAGATGACTCAGCGGTTAATCCGAAGGTTGGCAGCCCTGGGTCAGTATGAGGAGGCTATCGCCACACTCAATGCCTCCGCAGCCGAGAGACCCAGTGCTCTGAAGACCAAACAGCAGAACGGACAAAGGAGTGACGTACTGAGCATCAGTGATGATGCTTTTATTCTAGCCCAGCAGCTCACACACATTGAACTGGTGAGGAGAGAACATACTGTAGATCATACTGTGTACTGTATTCATGATATGTGGTGTTCAGAGAAGTTCAAACTCAATGGCCGTTTTGATCATTAGAATTGAGTGTTGATTAGAAGAAGTCACTACAGAGTACCCATGATCTATCAATTAATGTACTGTACGGTTAGAAATACAGTATTGCTTTAGAAATATTTGCTTATTATACTTTTTTAAATTCCACTTCTAGGACAGACTGAGTTTTATCGGACCAGAAGAGTTCATTCAAGCCTTTGGTGTGAAAGATCCCCTGGACAACCATAAGGTAGGCCTTGTCCACTACCTTGTACATAACATTGTCCAATACCTTCCACATAACATTGTCCACTACCTTCCACATAACATTGTCCACTACCTTCCACATAATATTGTCCAATACCTTCCACATTGTCCAATACCTTCCACATAATGTTTTCCAGTACCTTCAAACATAACATTGTCCAATACCTTCCATATAACATTGTCCACTACCTTCCACATAACATTGTCCAATTTCTTCCACATAACATTTTCCACTACCTTTCACATAACATTGTCCACTACCTTCCACATAACATTGTCAACGACCTTCCACATAACATTGTCCACTACCTTCCACATAACATTGTCCACTACATGCCATATAACAGTATCCACTACCTTCCACATAACATTGTCCACTACCTTCCACTGGTTACCTTCTGTCAGTCATTATGGTGAGGCTACTGAATGGGTTGTGGCTGACTTCATTGTGTAAGTCCGTTAAGAGTTATCAACAGAGTACATCACAACAAGTAGTCATGAACAGACTGGGAGAAACAACTCTAGCCCAGATACATTTTACAAGAAAAGAAACAGAATGTATTGAAATGCTCCAACAACAACAGATCCATCATGGACATCATACTAGTAAAAAAGTAACCTTGACCTGTCCTTCCCCTCAGAGTTTCTTTCGAAAACGCAAGACCACTAACCTGGAGGCTTATGTAGCTTGGTTCAACAGACTCAGCTACCTGGTGGCAACTGAAATCTGTATGGTGGGTGCTCTCTTTCTTTCTCACGTTCTGTCTCCCTCTCTCTGTCTCTATCTCTCTCCCTCGTCTACTATCATGCTCTCTCCGTCTACCTTATTTCCCTATCTCCCTTGTGTCTGTTATCCTTTCTTTCTCACACTGTTCCAATGGCTTCCTGTTTTTCTTCCTTCCAGCCAGTGAAGAAAAAGCACAGAGCTCGGGCCTTGGAGTTCTTCATAGACGTGGCCAGAGAATGCTTCAACATCGGCAACTTCAACTCACTCATGGCTATCATCAGTAAGTAACAATACATGGCTCTAGAATGTTTTTTATTTTTTATTCTACAATAGAAATTGGAATTTCAGTTTACTTCCTGAATTCACTGAATTGAAATGAAATTGATCCCTAAACCTGCTCTCCTCTCCCCACAGCTGGAATGAACATGAGTCCTGTGTCTCGACTGAAGAAGACCTGGAGCAAAGTCAACACAGACAAGTTTGACATACTGGAGCACCAAATGGACCCCTCCAGTAACTTCAGTAACTACCGTACTGCCCTGCGAGGAGCCACCCAGAGATCTATCACAGCACACAGCAACCAGGAGAAGATAGTCATTCCATTCTTCAGCCTTCTAATCAAGGATATCTACTTCCTCAATGAAGGATGTGCCAGCCGGCTACCCAACGGTCATGTCAACTTTGAAGTGAGTCTGAGTAATGTACAGTAAATGCATTATTGCTCTGTATTACTAATAATGACAAGACTATTACTGTACTGGTTTCCCTCGACTAAGGCGCATGTTCAGTGGTGAATCTCCATTGAAATAGATTTTTAGTCTAGGACTAGGCTCCATCTGGGTCCAGGAAATTGGCTTTTTGTGTTTAAGTAGCAGGTGAAAAACACATTGTTGTCAATATTTTTCATTTCAATGAATGTTAATTTCCTGTTTCTCTATAGAAACTGTGGGACTTGGCGAAGCAGGTCAGTGAGTTCCTGGTGTGGCGTCAGGTGACGTGTCCCTTCGAGAGAGACAGGAAGATTCTCCAGTACCTCGTCACAACGCCCGTCTTCACCGAGGATGGTGAGTGGTGTCCACAGATACATTACATTAAGATGTTAATTATTTAGAACAGTACAAAATGTGCAGCGCCTGTGGTCTAGTGGTACCCACACCTGACCTGGCTGTTTGCACATGTGTACTCCCCACGTCGTCCACAATTCCTACTGTATCTCCTCCCTTTCTAATTCTGTACTGTCTAAATAAAGGATACAACATATAAATGGAGGATGAAAGTCCACTCTCCTGTAAAAAGTACAAAACCTACTATAATCAGTACTGCATCTTATAACATTGGCTTCAGTGTTAGTAATGTATTTTCTCTTTGTCGCTTCTCCAGAGCTGCATTTGGCCTCCTACGAGAGCGAAGGTCCTGAGAACCACATGGAGAAGGACAGTCGCAGGTCTCTCAGGTGTGTAACTTGACTTGATTTTTTACTTGACTTTACACATGGATTTGTACTCATACATGGTGCACTGTTTTTATTTCAAACCATTGTATTATGTGTCCTATATTGCAGGTCATCCCTATTTCACAGAGAGCATCGGTGAGTGGTGGTCTGGGTGATATTCCATCCCAGCTAAAGAGGCTCAAGTTCGACAGGTTCTTGAAAGAATGGAGAAAGATGGGAGAAAGAAGTGTTCAAAGCACTCAGACAAAGGATGCCTCCCTCCATGGCTGAAGAACTGAAGATCTTGCCTCTCGCACTGTACATTGACAGATGACTCATTTGTAACGTGTCTACCCACACAGTATTACTGTTCTTTTTTTATACCAATGGGTCGAAATGGTTACTGATCATTTTCTATGCTTTTCTGAAGTAGTCATTCTGAAGTGTAATGAGCTTGTTGCTGGTTGGCTTGCTCAGTCTTCTTTTAATGTAAGCTATTTCTTTTATGTTTTTGTTCTTACCCTGTGTTTTGCATATGTTAGGAATGAATTACTTACATATTTGTGATGAATCTTAAAAGATACAAAAAACAAACCTCGAAACTCATCTCATCTTTGGTGAAAGGAATATGAATATGACTGAATAGCCAGCGGTGAATAGTTAACTCTGTTTTTTTAATTGTATTATGTGTTTGTTTACCTTACAGCTATTACTTTTTATGAATGTTTTATGTATTCTCTTCTTTTTTTACTATGTGGTTTTGTATCATGTATGTGTTTATTGTTTGGCCACCCCAATGTGTTACTTATCAGGGTACTCTACATTAAGTTCTTATGCGAAATAAGAGGTATATTTTTATTTTGAAAAACAATTAAAGAACATTTAAAGGTGAGTTTTTTCTGTCTCTGTAAATATCACTCTAGCGCCATCTAGTGTTCACAACTAAGCTTACAGTCAAGTCACATCCACACCGAAACTATTGTAATTCATGTGAAAAAAAAACAAGAATTTATTGTAAAAGAATGGGAAAATAAATGGCATACAAAAAATGTCACATTTTACAGAATTGAGAGAAAAATCTAAACTACTTCTAAGGGAAGAAATGATGCTTTATACATAAGCAGACTCATATATTTTTTATATGTTTCAAATAAAATGTCATTGCATTGTTAATGTACATTATAAAATTAACATAATAGTTAGTTAATGTGTTTAATTAGTTCCCCATTAGTATCTTCATCAATATGAATATTATATCTTCTAATGATAAGAACTCACTGAACTCATGTATGAGAGGTCAAGTGTCGTGCGAGGTGATGATGTTGTCTGAAGACCTCGCTGCAGATTGAACACTTGAGCGTCTCTTCCCTCTCCCTGTGATGCTGTTGTTTCACCCCACACACAGATCCTGTGGCATCCAGCGCCCTCTTGTGGTGAGACCTCATATGCTGCACCAGGTCTGAAGTCAGTCGGAAGGAGATGTTGCATTTGGCACACCAGTTCTGAGCCGGCTGGCAGAGGGGCGAGAGCCGTGAGACGGAAGGGGACAGGAGCACCGGGGAGGGGGGGATCGGGACCTGCAGGGGTCTCCCTGGGGTCCTGGGCCAGAGAGCTGCTGGGCTGTAGAGAGGGTGCCTCTGTTTCAAAACACCCTGGACCAGCACAGGTCTGTGGAGATCAGTAGTGGGAGTAGTGATGGAGGTTTTAGCCCTCTCAAGCAGGGGGGTAGTCTGGGGAAGTGGAACAGAGCGTGGGGGCTGGGAGAAGGCACTTCTACTGTTCTCTGAGACAGAGACTTGATTGAAGGCAGAGGTGACAGGAGGAGAGTCAGTGGAGGTTTCCTCAGAGCGTGATGAAGATGGAGACAGAGCTTCTGTGTCTTTCAGAGCATTATTCTTTGAGTCTCTCTGCTCCACTGCTGGGCCACTACCTGGCTGAATGCTCTGGTTCTGTGGGTTGGATCTGATGTCTTCAGGCCCTGAGGTCTTCAGTTGTGGTTTTAGTTGAGTGGTTCTGTCTTCAGTGAAGGTGTTCCTTATTATATTGGTGGGCAGGTGACAGGAGACGGGGATAGGTTGTTGGTTCATGTTCAAAGTACAGTAACCTCTCTCCAGTGGTTCCTGCTTTATGACTAGAGGCTGGGGGCTATTCCTATCCTCCTCCGTGTGTTTCCTTTTGAAGGTACTCCCTGCTGGCCTGGTACCAGACAAGCTTGTCTTATTACTGGTATTCTCCATATCCCTGGCTAGATTGTGGAAGTCTGTTGCAGGTTTTCCATCCTGTGGACTTGTCTCTGGATTACTCAGTTTGAAGGCATGAATAGGAAGGGAGTCAGGTTTCAAGTGGTTGGTGTTGTCTTGACCAGATTTGGTGGTGTGGCTGTTTGGTTGTCTCTGTGTGCAAAGGAATCTCCAATGTGCCAGGAGGGGGAACTCAGACTCAAAGCCCTGGATGCAGTTTGTACATGTGTACGGACCAGCACCTGGTTATAAAGATGGATATGGATTAATATCACTTTATTCTGCCAATATTGCATGACATAAAACTTTGCCAATAGTCTTTGAATTGTACAAATGTATTGACGAAATCTAGTTTTGCTGTTTAATATTTAATTGCAGTCAGTATTTAAATCATGAAAATTGCTATGAATAATATCTATCTATATATTGTAAGACATCATATTTTATTACCATGTAATAACACATTCATAGAGTATGTATACCTTTGCTTCGCATCTGCAATGGGTTCAGTAGAAGAAGCTTGGCAAGGTCTTTCCCATACCACACCAAAAGCTCCTCTTCCTTCTGGATCGTCCTGAGGGCTCTAAAGAACAGTTGTCCGTTCTTCACATAGGCCTCCAGGTTCTGTTCCTCACTGCTCCGGGCTGACTGGACGAGCCGCAGCCACATCGGACCGTCAGTGGCCATTTTGTGCGCTGAGGTGTTCACCTGTGTAGCCAAATAGAAACAGGTCTTACAAAAACAAGTAAAATACAGCATTTTGCTAGCTGAAAAGGTTCGATGAATTTTAGACAATTATGCGGGCATGAGAAACTGGCCAGCCATTCGTTTGGAACACATTAAGTCCATGTTCTCACCCTTAAAATGTATGGTGTCGTTCTTCTGTCCATAGACTTGAGAGCGATGAAGGCGATGCTGTCATAAACCGAGGTGTGTTTCAGCTCACATGGTCCAAAAACGGCGTGCTCAGGAACTTCGCAGGTGGTGTGGACACGCGTAAAAATTTCCGTTATCCATCGTTGCGCAACTTGCGCAGCTCTCGCCTCTGTGTTCCAAACGAGTTTGGAACGAATATCTGCCTCCAGGGTCTCCTGAGAACCAGATAACATCAGAATTCATATCATTAGGCTGCCAATGAAGAATAAATAATTCGAAAATTAGTTTTGAATAATGCCCGCCAAAAAACGTGTGTAAAACAGCTTTAAATCCAAAACAATACTTACCATTGCATACAGCTGAGCGGTGGACAACATTTCGGCGATAAGATCTGCGCTTCTATTATTTGCACTGTCCCTGCTTGTATTGTACAGTGTATCGTGTCTTGTAGATGCCCACCAATACCTGCCATGGGACTGGTCGACTGGAGGAGCTGGTTTTATAGTCTAGTCTAATCTGCACAATGAGATTTGACAATTCGCAGCCCCTCCTTTATCCTCTTGTTAGATGGGTGATATTAATGATCTCTGACAATCAGAAAGTGTCGGTGCGTGGATGGACAGTCTAAAGAGGTCATGGGTATCAGTGGACAGCCAGTGCAAGGAGAAACCCATTTCCAACAGGGACAAAATATAGTGTATTTAGGTGACGGCGGGTCATGTTCTGGTGTGCAAGCATGCCCCGGGGCCACGACGATAAACGCGAGTGTATGTACGGTAAATGGAGTGATGCACTTTTTGTATCCTCCTCGGGCGATAGATAAACCTTGGCTCATTGATGGGTTACAATGCTGGAATTCACTCCACACAGTAGCCTAATAAGCGAATTCCACATTGTTTGTCACGTGCACAATGACAAGGACATCAGAATCTGTTGAATTTAAGTTTTCAAACAAACAATATTTGTATTTCAGTATGTGAAATTAAAAGTCAAATCCACGTTTTTCAATGGTTTTGGCTATAACTAATATGTCAAGCTCCAATAAAGTTTGGTTGTTGAACTGAAATAGGTCCATACATTTTTCATATTGAACAAAATATTGTGTCACCTGCTGTCTCCCCCTCCCCGCCCACTGTGTTGGTGGTGTGGTCTAAGGCACTGCATCGCAGTGCTATGCAGTGCTAGCTGTGCCACTAGAGATCCTGGTTCGAATCCAGGCTCTGTCGTAGCCGGCCGCGACCGGGAGACCCATGGGGCGGCGCACAATTGGTCCAGAGTAGGGGAGGGAATGGCCGGCAGGGATGTAGCTCAGTTGGTAGAGCATGGCGTTTGCAACGCCAGGGTTGTGGGTTCGATTCCCACGGGGGGCCAGTATGAAAAATAAATACAAATAATGTATGCACTCACTAACTGTAAGTCGCTCTTGATAAGAGCTTCTGCTAAATGACTAAAATGTATTTTAAAAATGTGTAGTACAGGGTTTCCCAAACTCGGTCCTCAGGCACATTTTGGGTTTTGCCCTAGCACTACACAGCTGATTCAATAATCAAAGCTTGATGAGTTGGTTATTTGAATCAGCTGTGTAGTGCTAGGGCAAAAACCAAAATGTGCACGCAGGGGGGGGGGGCCCGAGGACCGAGTTGGGGAAACCCTGTTAGGGTGCAATAGGGTTCAAAGGCGCTCGACTGCATCTGTTCGGCTCTCTTGCGCATGCTCGCTTCAGATGGGACAGTACTGTAACAGTGGTAAACCTCTAAGCGATACGCCACAACTCATTTTATTCTCTCAATTCAGAAAATTAAATAGTTACCAACAAGTGGCAAGGACGATAAATAGTATTTACAAAGACATACATTAACATGTCGCGTAAATGTCATGTTCGTTTCTTTTCAATTTTGTCGTTGGAAAATCAGGAATCAGTTTTGAGTCTTGTTTTATCGAGACGAAGAAAGCGCATGTGAGGTAGTCTACTCTAGTCAGTGGTACAGTACAATGTGCAAACCCATTGAGGACATATTTTATCAAGGCAATGATCATCAACGGACAATGGATTGCACTCCTGTTTACCTTTCTTATAGGCCTAAACACATTATTTTGTAATAGCGAAGAGGCATCTTGCCATGGAGCTTTTGATATTTATTTCGTTTTAGATAGGTAAGTATAGCCTACAGACTAAATGCAAGATGTAGTTGATATAGAAGTCACTTGTGTTTTTTATGGTAAAGTATCTTGAATGAACACGATTCTATAGAATATATCAGGTGTCGGATTGCACCATTTTCTTATCAAGTTTTGTGTGGAAAAACTCAGATATGTAACAAGTAGAAAAATACTCCTGTAAGTAGTATTAAAATGACTCAAGATCTATTTCAGTCTGTCTAGTCCTTGTATGGGTTTGTTTGGTTCTGGTTCAGGGAGTGTCTGACTGTGCTCTACAGGTCTGGGAGTGTGCATGATAACTGGGGAGAGATCTATGAGTTTGTGGAGCAGCTCACCAACCGCTTTGTGAGGTAAGTGAATAAAGTCATACTCTCTGGTCCAAGCTCTGTGTATGAGGTGAAATGAGCAACTTGCCTTGAACACTATACATCACTTTCTATCAGTACTATGGTTAACTTTACAGTCTGAATCATGAAACAGAAGACTGGGACAGAAGAATGGGCCCATTTTAGTCAAATAATGATTTACCAAGGACATACGATATTTACACAGTGAGGAATCAATAAAGATAAACTGTAGTTAACACACTCATGTGAAAGTGGGGCATATCCTTTTCAAGCAGTAGGCAATAGGCATTTGATCAAATGTAAGTTCCACCGAACACTTGGATACAGTATGTGGGATTCTTTTTAAACATAATAGTGGGGTACTAAATTTAAGTCCAGAACATTTGGCTGAAACAGCTGGCTGTGGTAACAACTGTGTATAATTGTAATTTAGGAGAAAAGGGTTAGCCCCAAAGGGTGTAGTCTTTTAAATACAAAATGACCAGTAACTTCTTGGTGTTTGATCCAATTCATCCCTTGGTTTTCCCCTGTTTGTTTTAGTCCGAGGATGAGAGTTTCCTATATAGTTTTCTCATCTAGAGCGGAGGTGATTCTACCACTAACTGGAGACAGGTACAGACACCCACACTCTCTCACTTATTACAGTACCAAGCATGTCTTGCTCTCTCCCCCTCTCTCTCTCTCTCTCTCTCTCTCCCCGCTCTCTCTCTCTTTTTCTCTCTTTCTCTCTCTCATTCTCTCTCTCGCTCTCTTTCACACACACACACACACACACACACACACACACAGGAAATCATAATTTCTCAGATAGCAAATTCATATTTCCTATTTCTTTGTAGATATGAAATAGAGGAAGGCTTGAAAAAGTTAAGCGAAATCAGACCGGCTGGTGAAACATACATGCACGAAGGCATGAAGTCGGTAAGCATATTCTATTTTCTTTTCTATTCTACTTTATATTTTTTGTTGTTGGACTCTTTTGTTGTACATTAAAACATGGCTTCCCCCATGTAGGCTTCAGAGCAGATGAAGGCCCAGGTCACACGGTCATCCAGCATTATCATAGCTCTGACTGATGGGAAACTGGAAGTCTATCCTTATGACCTGACCGTAAAGGAGGTAATACCATTATACTAAACAGGGATGAGTAATAAAATAGTACTTACTGTAAGTGCTTTGAACTCTTGACTAGTACGCAGCTATTTTCCATGAATTAATCTAGCTGTCCTCTCTTTTTGTTGTAGGCAAACACTGCCAGGGAGTTTGGTGCGAGAGTGTACTGTGTTGGTGTGAAAGACTTTGATGAGAGCCAGGTGAGTGTTTTTAAGGATCTGTTTTTGCAGTGCTCTCACCTTTCTATCAATTGAAGGCTGCAGAAGCACACACAAAATGCACACATTGCAATACACTATTTTGTTTACATTGAAATCTCTGAACACTGCCAAAGTCCATGTTGAATCCATACTGGAACTACTAATGGGTACCATAATATTGGAAGAAAAATAGCATACCAGTTTTATGATTTGATCGTCTGTCCGTCTCAAAGTGCGTTAGCGGTCTGGATAGGAAGTCAGTTGTACTGTAATCATCTAATTGGATCATGCTAGCCTGCTTCCTGTTATGGTTTCATTACATTAGATCAGCCTTTGAAACCAGACCGGAAAACATCAAGGGAGGGAGGGCTGTGTTGTAGATGTACAGAAAACAGAGGGAGGGAGGGCTGTGTTGTAGATGTACAGAAAACAGAGAGAGGGAGTAATGTACAGACAATGAGGGCAAGAGCGCTATGTTGTACGTAGATGTGGAAAGACAATCTTTCAGATGTTGTGTAATTTCATATGCTTTTTTATACTGTACCTACAGCTTGTTGGCATTGCAGACAGCAAAGACCAAGTATTCCCAGTGCTGGCTGGATTTCATGCACTCAAAACCATTGTGAATTTGGTGAGGACAGAATAATTAAATACAACAATATGTCAAAATAAATGTTAAGACACCATGTCATTTACCTTATCATTATTTATATTTTTCACAGATTTTGAAGCAATCCTGCACAGAAATATTCAGGATAGAGCCCACTAGTGTTTGTGTGAATGGTACGTTGCAAACAAATAACATTGTTATTTGTTTGTGCCCGAAAATCCTAACATTGTGCCCCTCTATAACATTCTAGAATCTTTCAACATCGTCCTGAGAGGATATGACTTCACCCGTGGGAGGAGCCAGGATGGAGTGATCTGCGTTCTCACTGTCAACCAGGAGACATACAGTTAGTATACCCCAAGCTCCATAATGCATCATATTCTGCATTCCAATATTGACACACCTACCTACTGTAAGACTGCAGATTGACAATAACCCCCCCTAATCGCGTTATACTACATTATTCCTGTTTACCAGATGCCACAGTCGTTTGTAGCTGTACACCAAACAATCCTGTTCCTCAGGATGCAATCTACTAAATGTCCCCATGGAAAGATTTTCAACACTCTGTTCATTATGTAGCCACACTAATGAGGTACTGAGGGCATGGACTGAATGTTGGGTTTCACTATTTAGCCAAACCAGAGAGAACAGAACAGTGTCTTATTTAGTAAGGTCAGGGAACATTATGCAGCTAGCTGAGTACATGGAGCTTGTATCTGTCTTATTGCTTAATGTAGAACACAACACACAAGGTCTCTTCACTGAGAGGGCATTGAGTACACGCTTTTGCTTAAGTAGGCCAACATCAGACAAGAATCCAGAGAATCTCAGAGCGAGCAGATGAGAGAAAGAGATCGCGCCTGAGCTTTAGATAAGAGCGATAGCCCGAGAGAGAGATGTAGTAAGCGCGCTGCGGTCTCGATCGCTCTCGAATTTCTATCGTATCTCTTGATCTCTCTCTCTCTCTCCTCTCTCTCTCTCCTCTCTCTTACTCTCTCTTTCTCTCTCTATCTCTCTCTTCTCTCTCCCCCCTCCCCCAAGATGAGAGACCCAGTGTGGTGCAGGATGGCTATCTGTTGTGTCCAGCACCACTGCTGCATGAAGTCGGGCAGTAAGTGCTGCACTCAATTCTCTCCTCTTAGAACTTCCTGTATCCATAAATGGCCTGTGAGCTACTGAGCGCGCTCAGTTGGCCAGATCAAAGGAATGTAATGTTGTCTGTTGGTTGCTGTGAGAGCTGAACCACACAGCAACCCAGACGCTCCACTGTCAGACTACACACACTTCCATTCAGGGTGGGTAGTGGGTTCGACGGGTAACAGTTGTTCACCACTTTATAAAAGCAAAAGAAAGAACTTAAAATAATTCAAGTATAAAAATAGAATAAAGGTCTGGTGGTGACTGGAGAATGGCTGCTGTTCAGCCCTGTTCCATTACGGTACCCTGCCTGGTTTCTTTAGAAAATGTGACCAAATAGGCTGAACCGATGTGTAGTGATGAGACACACCAAAATGGTTTGGCACACTATCATTAAAACAGCTTTGAGGAAGATGTTATATGTGAGACTTTGTGACCCTGTGTTAGTGTTTACCCTGCCCATCAGCATGCCTATTGGCACAGTGCCTTGGCATTTCAACGGTTGGTCTGCCAGACCGATACTTTAATTAAGTTTGACCTACTTTGTTAGTATCTCTCTCTCTCGCTCTCTCTCTTTCTGTCTCTCACACACACACACATAAAGCAATAATATAGAATTGTGCTGGACTTTCTTTCCCTCACAATAGATCGATAGATGTGCTGATCAGCTTGAACAACGGTCAGTCCTACATCTCAAGCCCATTCACCATCTACGCTACAACTTGTGTGAGTATCAGTATCACAGACAACACCAACACTCAAAACAAACGGCCTCACTCCACTTCCATTTAGTTCGGTCTGTCCTAGTTCACCAAAGTCTAGTCTGATGGTCCATGAAATAACATTTGATAGAAAGTCACACATCATCTGATAAAGTCTGTTTTGTGGGCTGCTTTGTTTACCATGTCTCCCGATGCAGTCTGATGGGACAGTGGTGCTGGTGGTGATCTTAGTTCTACTCCTGCTGCTGGGTCTGGCTCTGCTGTGGTGGTTCTGGCCGCTCTGCTGCACTATTGTGAGTGGTTCAACCTCCTCCAGGACCGACTGTATGATTTAATCAGTTTTCAGTTAATACAGTTGTTGGTTGAGGTGTCAGTACATAGTAATTCATTGTTGTATAACTGCTGACTGTTTTATACTGTATATGCTACAGGTGATCAAGGACCCCCCTCCTCGTCGCCCCCCTCCTCCTCTCCCTCCTCCTCCAGTACCTGTGAGTGCTTAGTTTCTTTGGAAGTGTTCTTAGAAGTGCCAAGTGTTTTATATCTTTCTCGTCGCACCATTATTGAGTAACTTCAACCCCCCAAAATTCCCTCCTCATAACAGGAGCCAGAGGAGGACCCTCTGCCCAAGAGGAAGTGGCCCATGGTGGATGCATCATACTATGGGGGAAGAGGTGTCGGAGGAATGAAACGCATGGAGGTATGTCTGAATGAGTATTACCCCATTAAACCATTACTTCCTTTCTATTTGGGCTGTACTATATCTTGACAGTGAGTTGTGTCACTTTATTTTGAGTGATGTTAGTTACTCTAAAGTTTTGAATGGTTATTTTGTGCTAAACGAATATAAACGGTACAAAATGTTAAATAACCTACTGTAAACTGTGTTTTAGGTTCGTTGGGGGGAGAAAGGTTCCACAGAGGAAGGTGCACGGCTAGAGAAAGCCAAGAATGCGGTGGTCACAATGGTGGAAGAGGAGGTGGAAGAACCTATCATTAGGAAACCAATGCCTCAGAGACCACCCCCTACCTATCACATCCCAGAACAGTCCAAATGGTACACACCCATCAAGGTTAGTCACCATGCTTTCAGATCCACATTTAAAATGGCTGTCAGTAACTGATTTTGTATATTAAACCAACAAGTTGAGTCTTATTTTATCATCCTCTTAGGGGCGTTTTGATGCGCTGGTGGCGTTACTCAGGCGACAGTATGATCGAGTTGCTGTCATGAGACCAACAGCACAGGACAGGGTAAGGCACCACCTTGTATAATGTATTCAGTCAGTTTACTTCCTGAATTGTTTTCCTAAATTGACTGAATTTAAATGGAATTGACCCTAACCCTGATCGCAACAAACTCATGAAGAAAGAAAGAAAGAAAGAAAGAAAGAAAGAAAGAAAGAAAGAAAGAAAGAAAGAAAGAAAGAAAGAAAGAAATACAGTGCATTCAGAAAGTATTCAGACCCCTTCCCTTTTTCCACATTTTGTTACGTTAGACTTATTCTAAAATTGATTAAATACATTTTTCCCCTCATGAATCTACACACAACACCCCATAATGACAAAGTGAAAACAGGTTTTTTTAAATGTTTGCAAATGTATTACAAATAAAAAACAGAAATACCGTATTTACATAAGTATTCAGACCCTTTGCTATGAGACTCGAAATTGAGCTCAGGTGCATCCTGTTTCCATTGATCACCCTTGAGATGTTTCTACAACTTGATTGGAGTCCACCTGTGGTAAATTATATTGATTGAACATGATTTGGAAAGGCACACACCTGTCTATAAGGTCCCACGTTTGACAGTGCATGTCAGAGCAAAAACCAAGCCTCGAGGTTGAAGGAATTGTCCGTAGAGCTCCGAGACAGGATTGTGTCAAGGCACAGATCTGGGGAAGGACACCAAAACATTTCTGCAGCATTGAAGGTCCCCAAGAACACAGTGGCCTCCATCATTCTTAAATGGAAGAAGTTTGGAACCACCAAGACTTTTCCTAGAGCTGGCCACCCGGCCAAACTGAGCAATCGGGGGAGAAGGTCCTTGGTCAGGGAGGTGATCAAGAACCCGATGGTCACTCTGACAGAGCTCCATAGTTCATCTGTGGAGATGGGAGAACCTTCCAAAAGGACAACCATCTCTACAGCACTCCACCAATCAGGCCTTTATGGTAGAGTGGCCAGACAAAAGCCACTCCTTAGTAAAAGGCACATGACAGCCCGCTTGGAGTTTCCCAAAAGGCACCTAAAGGACTCTCAGACCATTACATTTTAGTCATTTAGCAGACGCTCTTATCCAGAGCGACTTACAGTTTAGTGAGTACATACATTTTTCATACTGGCCCCCTGTGGGAATTGAACCCACAACCCTGGTGTTGCAAGCGCCATGCTCTACCAACTGAGCTACAGGAGGCCTACTGAGAAACAAGATTATCTGGTCTAATGAAACCAAGATTGAACTCTTTGGCCTGAATGCCAAGCGTCACGTCTGGATGAAACCTGGCACCATCCCAACGATGAAGCATGGTGTTGGCAGCTTCATGCTGTGGGAATGTTTTTCAGCGGCAGGGACTGGGAGACTAGTCAGGATCGAGGGAAAGATTAACAAAGCAAGGTACAGAGAGATCCTTGATGAAAATCTGCTCCAGAGCGCTCAGGACCTCAGACTGGGGCAAAGGTTCAACTTCCAACAGGACGACGACCCTAAGCACACAGCCAAGACAACGCAGGAGTGGCTTCGGGACAATTCTCTGAATGTCCTTGAGTGGACCAGCTAGAGCCCGGACTTCAACCCGATCGAACATCTCTGGAGAGACCTGAAAATAGCTGTGCAGCGACGCTCCCCATCCAACCTGACAGAGCTTGAGAGCATCTGCAGAGAGGAATGGGAGAAACTCCCCAAATGCAGGTGTACCAAGCTTGTAGCGTCATACCCAAGAAGACTGGAGGTTGTAATCGCTGCCAAAGGTGCTTCAACAAAGAACTGAGTGAAGGGTCTGAATACCTATGTAAATGTGATATTTCAGTATTTGTTTTATTATACATTTGTAAAAATTCCTAAAACTTGTTTTTGCTTTGTCATTATGGGGTATTGTGTGTAGATTGATGAGGAGAAAACACAATTTAATCCATTTTAGAATAAGGCTGTAACGTAACGAAATGTGGAAAAAGTCAAGGGATCTGAATACTTTCCGAATGCACTGTACTTAACTATCCCTCTACTGCTTGGTCAGTGTCGCACAGTTCACACGTTAGGAACCTTGTCTAGCTCATTAGTGGTCCGAGCAGACAGGCTTGTCAGTGGAGAGGGGATGGGGGCAGTAAGGGAGAGACAAGACATGACAGGTCACCACTCTGTCCACTGAGAGGAGGTGACAGCTTTAGCCATTAACTGTTCCCCCATACCCATATGGGATGGCGTGATGGGAGATGGAGGGATCCTATAGATGAGTGATGGAGCTTTAGCCATTAACTGTCCCCCACCCCAGCCTATACCCATATGAGATGAGGGGATGGAGGGATGGAGAGGTGGAGGGAACTATAGATTAGTATCTCTTCACTGAGAGAGGAGGTGACCGGTTTACCCAATAACCCCCCCCCCCATCCCGGTCTATACCCATATGGGATGGAGAGATGGAGGAGGAATGGGGTGGGGGATGGAGGGATCCTATAGATGAGTGATGGGGGGAGAGTAGGGATGGATGTCTATGTTTGTGAGACTGGCCCCTCTGACCCCCTAATGCCTATTAGCACCATTATTCTCTGTGAGGCCTCTGGCCTGTCAAGATAACAAGCAGAGCAGGGCTGGATGTAAAGGAGGATGGGGGGGGGGTGGAGGGGGACAAACGAGGGGCAGCGTGTGACCTCTGTCCTCTTAACCTCCCTGTCTGTCACGCTGTGTTCGTGTACTTACTCTGTCACACTGTGCTGTTGTACTGTAGGACACGTTAATTAAGACGCTGGACTGGGCATACATTGTCCTGTCATTAACGGAGGTTGGGGACACTGGCCATTATCTTTTTATTGAGAAAGGTAGGGGTGTGTACCCTCTGTAATTGATGTTAATGTGATTATACTGTACTAAATCTGTTGTAAATTGCTGTACTGAATTTGTTTAAAATATATACATATATTGGATACTCCCTAAAACGTATTTGATGATATATTAGCTGTGATCATGCAGTGATTCCTGGTGGACGGTTTTAGCGGGGCTGGTACCTGCTCTAATCTGACTAGGCTCATGATGGGGGCACCCTTCTTGACAGAATGGGAGTGGCTGTCTGGTCAGCCAGTTATGCTCTTGCACTTGATTAGGTTGATTGGCTAATAGTGATGTCGTGACAACTCGCCGGCCCATTCGCCATCTCCTCCTTACCCATTACAGTCAAAGCCGGCTGCCTCAATTGAGTTCAATTATGATCAATTATTGTAAATGTCAACTCTACGCAGTGTTGTCAAAACAATTTCCATGATATGTCACGTATGCAGTGACTCCATTAGGAGCTCATTTTATCTGAGATACATAAATCCATATATGTTGGAGGCTAATAGGTACATGCAGTACCAGTATAACATTGAGGAGAGCTGGTTTGACATGGTTGCTTGTTCTAATCTTTAGACCAGTGGAGAGCAGGTCTGAGCACTCTGCACTGTCTATGGAAGAGGCAAGCGGTGAGGCATGAACAATATAATGCCATGTACCATTCTTCATGAGAATTAGGCTGATATGGAGGTGCGGGGGAGGTGTTACTACTGTAATGAAATATAGTATATGTTAGGGAAGGTCTATACTGTATATTTTCTGATAAGTCTATTGTAAAAGAGTGTGTCTTCTCAGTAACTTACCTCGTAAAGTAAAAGGTTTAAATGGAATAAATAAATAATACAGAAACTGCATTTTGTTTTGTTCAGGGGCGCTGTATGAATTTCACCCGAGTTCCCAATCATTAGGTCAAACAAACCATAATCTTTGGACTATGAGGCTATGGAGAGAACAGGGCTATGGACCACGTGCCTAAACATCATCAATGTGCCTCTCTTTGGACATATTGTTTGTTTTTATTTCAGCTTTATTTATCCAGGTTTGTCTTTGGATAAAACAAACCTGTTCGGCAGCGTTCAATAATTTTAGCTTGCTTACTTGCTATACAATCCTCATGTCACGGTTTCATTTATTGTCAGAGTCATATTGTAATTTACGTGTAACCATAGATCAAAGAACATGTGGTAAGAGGATAACTATGTTATTGAGTGCCTTCTTGTTTCTTTTCTTATCAAGAATGAAGTGTCTTTTGCTTGTCTTTTTTATTCAAGCTCTGTTGTTTCAAATGTGGTGTTGTAAATAAAAAAAATAAAAATTAAAAAATCATGTGGAAAGTTTGTGAGGGTTTCACTTCCAACTAAAACTACAATGGGTTAATATTATTCCCAAACTGCAGGCTAATCTCGTTCATGTTGCTAAATACTGTAATATAATCACATTGTTAATCTAATCCCTTGACCGAATGCGTATTGTACATAAAAAACTTGTTCTGGCCCCGTGTAGCTCTGTTGGTAGAGCATGGCGCTTGCAACACCAGGGTTGTGGGTTTGATTCCCACGGGGGGGCCAGTATGAAAAATGTATGCACTCACTTAACTGTAAGTCGCTCTGGATAAGAGCGTCTGCTAAATGACTAAAATGTTCTGTCTCAGGGGACCAACAGAACAAGAGAGAATAATGTCAGATCAGACTTTTCATTTTTAGGGGGAAACACTAAATAAGACAATTATAATTTTCCGAATGCAATGGGCTTGATACATTTTTTATTTGCATGTCATAAAATGATCCCAAGACAACTATGGACAAAATCCAATGCCAAAACCAAAATAATTGATTTAACATGATGTAGCGATTATGATAGATGCAAAAATCTCTGAAGCTGAAGACTCTTATCTCCCTCTCTAACTTTAAGCATCAGTTGTCAGAGCAGCTTACCGATCACTGCACCTGTACACAGCCCATCTGTAATTAGCCCACCCAACTACCTCATCCCCATATTGTTCTTTATTTTGCTCATTTGCAACCCCAGTATCTCTATTTGCACATCTTCTTCTGCACATCTATCACTCCAGTGTTAATACCAAATTGTAATTATTTTGCACTATGGCCTATTAATTGCCTTATCTCCATAACGTACTACATTTGCACACACTGTATATAGATGTTCTATTGTGTTATTGACTGTATGTTTTGTTTTATCCCATGTGTAACTCTGTGTTGTTGTTGTTTTTAATCGCACTGCTTTGCTTTATCTTGGCCAGGTCGCAGTTGTAAATGAGAACTTGTTCTCAACTGGCTTACCTGGTTAAATAAAGGTTAAATAAAAAATAAAACATTTGCACATTTAATATTAAACAATTTAACAGTACTCCTACATTTTCTTATAGGCTAAATTGATATATTTTCATCAGCTACTTTGTATCTATATTTTCCCCATCATTACAGTCTATGCTATGATGTGATCATAAAATCTAAATAATTTGCCTATCTGGGTCATTTCCATCATTTTCATCATATGCATATGGGCCACAAAAAAAGGCTTTCATCAGATCTATGGACCCAGACTTCTTTAACTGCTGTTCATAATCTCCTATTTTATTCAGGCAATTTCTAAAGTGCAGAGAGGGGGTCCTTGGGCTAATTGTAATTTCATTTCTGTGTAATTTACTATAGCTCGGTGGTTATTTCAGAACGGTGTTTTTGATAGCGCACAGAAATCCGCCAGGGAGGTGGGAGAGCAATGGCAGAAGTAATGCTTGATTCTGTTGGCGCTAGTGAAGATAGAGGAAATAAGTGGAATACTGAAACATAAGATTGGAACTATTGTAAAAGGGCTACAGTTGTAAATCAAGATCAGCCTCGGTATGATAATGCCCCATTCCTTGTTGGAGTGCGATTCATGAGCAAGGATGTTGTTTTGGGAAACCCGTTTACGGTCACAAAGATGGAGAAGTAGAGTCAGTCAGAGTGACCAGGAGTGGTATGATGTTGATTTCATGTGGCAAAAGAACAAAAGGAGAAAGCACATATTATCGAAGCATGAAGTGGAACGCTATGGATTATCAGAGTAGGGCACCGGTATCATATCTGGCGTCTCGATGGATATGGAGGCTTCATAGTTTAAGATGAACGTGCCAAGAATAGTTGATTCACGTCGCTTAACCCGCACTGTGAATGGAAAGTAGCTTGTTGACCTAGAAAAAAAAACGATCTACCAAAATTAAATTCAGTGTTGGGGAGTAGTGAACTACATGTAGTTCAACTAGTAATTAAATTACATTTTGTAGTAGTTTAACTACATTTAAACTAAATTTGAAACACTTTTTTGGAATTTGTAGTCTTACATTTCACATTTAGATATGATAATTATTCACTAAGTAGTGTGAATGTAGTGAACTTCTTTTCAAAGTAACTTTAGTTAAGTAAACTATATTTTTATTAAGGGTAGCTTTAGTGTAGCATACAGTGCCTTCAGAAAGTATTTATACCACTTGACGTATTCCACATTTTGTGTGTTACAGCCTGAATTCTAAATGGATTAAATAAAAATTTTCTCTCTCACCCATCTACACACAATACCCCATAATGACAAAGTGAAAACATGTTGAACAGCAGCAGCTAGTGGTCAGAACCTGGTACTTTCACACTACTTTATGGAAGATAATGCAAGCAACTTCAATGACTAATTTCTCTGAACAGGGGGGAAAAAACCACCAGATTCACAGGGAATACATTACATCGTATGGAGAAGCAATACTCCAAGCCACAGCTTCAAACTACTTGTCAAACATACAGAAATAATACTGGTTGTTGGGGTGGGATTGGCATGGGGTGTGGTGGGTCCATGGGTGGCTTTTGACAATGTTTTTGAGATTCCTCTAGCCCAAGATGTACTCTTAAGTAGCCTACCTTACTCCTTAAGGTCCAAGAACCTTATATGTTATTTTCAGAGGTAGACTGGCAGCCAAAACAGCCAAATACTCCATCTACCTAAACGTGAATCGATTCTCCATTGTGATACTGTTCTAGAAACATAAAGCCCTTTACTTTCATATCACATATAAATAATTACACAAATGCAAAATGTACACTTACTGTACACTGTTTTAACCGGCTGTATCACAGTTGCAGCCGACAATATTTTTCAGTGACAACATATTTCTGCCGATCTTCTTCCGCTACACACGTGTTCGGAGCATGCTATATAGCTATCTAGCACAGGTGGTCCCTCTGTTTTCCGTAAACCCGCGCTGTAACGTGGAGATATGGCCGTGGGGGAACCCTAACCCTATAAAGGTGTGTATCAATTTAACCTTTTGTTTCATGAAAATTATTTATTGCTGATATGAAAGATAAGGTCCTTATGCTTCCAAAACCATAACGCAAGTGATGCGTGTTAATGTTCAGACCGAGCATCGGGGCTCTTAACAAAACTCCCCTGTACAGAAGACACCTTTGACCAATGACTGTTATGTGTAATGGAATGGAACTGAAAGTCCTGATCAAGGGCTAGGATTCCTCATGTCGTACTCATTGGTAGGAAGAAGTTTAGTCCAAATCGGATGTTGGGTACTATATTAATTGAATGTTATCGAAATCCTATAGATTAAAATGGCCAATTTGTGTACAATCAATTACCTTAATTTCTCAGTGATCAGATTATATTTCAACAAAATAATGTTTTAGGAATGCTAATTGTATCTGTTACCAACTACAGAAACGATTTCCGAACAATCGGAGATAGTGGGTGTCAATTTTCTTTCTTGTGCTTTTTGAGGTGGAATGACCCAGTGTGAAGTTATTGGTAGCTTGGTAAACTATATTTTCAGAGTAGCTTCCCCAACACTGGTTAGATAACAGTGAAACCTTAGTGCTATGCGATAACTTTACCCTGTTGGGTGCCCCTTTCATTTTTACAGCCTTAAAACTGTGCCAGAACTGTGAAGTCTGATGTTCCGAAATGCCTCATAAACTCCTAAAGTTACACAAGCGTACCCATTACATTGAACTGGGGAGTTACCAGTACTGGCCAGTTCTGGTGCCAAGGGGAATCCGCCTGTACACATTTGAACAGATTACGTTATTCTTGAAAGAAAACCCCTACATTACAGATGGATACAGAGCACAAATCAATTTATTTAAAAAATTACATGCGTTTTTCTGGATTTTTTTGTTGTTATTCTGTCTCTCACTGTTCAAATAAACCTACCATTAAACTTATAGACTGATCATTTCTTTGTCAGTGGGCAAACGTACAAAATCAGCAGGGGATCAAATACTTTTTTCCCTCACTGTATATGTAATATGACATGACTTGTCTCTCTGTTTGATTACTATCAATTAATGAAGAATGCCTAAAGGAATATCGTTGTTGGATTTATGTCAAGAGAATATGATATAATTTGCCTTGACATGATAATTTACTTTTACTTGTAGCTACAGTTTTTAGAAAGTGCCCTCATCCTCAAAGTTGACTATAACCTATTGTCTTCTCCATCCCATTAAATGCCTTCCAGAATATAGCCTCATTTTGGCATATGAGGATGATATTTTCTCTAATCCCATTCTATAATCTGACCTGCCAGCGCAAACCGAGGGACTATAATCTACAACCATTGTTATTTTTCTACAGCCACTAATTACAAGTTTGTAAGAAGGGGTTTGAGCTGTCAGATACTCCCAACTCAGACAACAAATCTCCAGATTAGACAGTTTTGCCTGTGATAATGACAAAAAACATCTCTTTCCACGACAGTCTGTTGGCAAAACATTGCAGAACCGCATTAGGCTTTACCATATGCGAGTCTTGGACCTAACCTGAATCTGTTCTTTTAGAGAAAACCCTATGGGACAATATCACACCTAAAACAAAGGGCCAGATTAAATCCGATCGCGTTTTGACCGCTATCACGTTGTAAAGCCAATGTTCCCATATTCGCGGAGACCACATTCACAGTAAACGCTGCATATGTCTGCTCAATCGGAAATTACATTTAAATGTCAATTGTGCTATAACGCGGATCATCCTCAGTCCGGATTGAATCTAGGCCAATGTAGAACAGTAGCCACCTGTGGGAGAATATCATATCTACAAGAAAGTAAATAAAAATAGTGATACATCACAATACCTCAGATCTCTTACCTCCTTTATGAAAGTTACATATGCATACTGTACAAAGTCATATTGTGATTCATGTTTAAGATCAAAATGGCATAACTGTTTTCTTGAGTGGCTTTTTGTGTATTTTCTTATAAAAGATGAAGTGTCATGTCTTTTTGAGTCAAGCTCTTCTTTTTCAAATTTGG